ACTGCTTCTGGCTTCAGATAATGCTTCTTTGGGTTTTGGTTTGTTCCATAGAGGGGGATGTTTGCTTGTTTTTTCATGTCCACAATATGTCTTGATTTGATATTTTGATTAATATTTATTTTTGCTGAGGTACATCCGGAGCACCAACTGACTGATTGTTGCCACCTGTGTGGAACTGACCATCATTACAGAGGCTTTCCTGATTGGCCATCGACAGCAGGTGACAGGAGGGTTAGTGCAGTGTGGACAGAGAGGACTTCTCCACAATTTAATTTTAGTTTTTTCTTTTCTCCTGCAGAAGTTCTGCTCTGATATACGTTCTTTGTCATTCTTTTGTGTGGCTGGCCTGAATAATATATAGTTTAACAACTCCTGCTGCTGGTCCCTACTTCCCACTCACACTACCAACCACCTTCAAAGTATGACAGAATTTAATTTGAAATTGTCAACACAATGTATATTTTACATATGAATGAGTAGTACAAGCTGTACAAGCAAAGAATAGGTTTGGCCACATTCTGTATTTTTCTTGCTTTCTTGCTATAAATTCCATGTGCAGACCTGAATCAAACAATTAAGTAATCCTGCTAACAAGTATGGTGTTTTTATCCAAAGCCTGTTTATTTTTACTCAATCCTACGAAGACTGCCCTGCTGCCCGAAATACACACTAGACCAGAGGTCACTAATAGGCAGACTGCGATCTTGGGATCACAGACCCACACATGGTGAGAGAAAACATCGGAGAAAAAACTAGGGAAAGAAAGAGAAAATTAGGTGTTTTAAGATGTTCAATTGTTAAGATGTGCTGAGACTGTTTATTACAAAAATGGGTGACTGTTGTTTAACTGACGGAATCGACCATAAAGAAGAATGGAAAATCAAAACGAAACTTAACTTCAATCACTGTTGTTCCACTGAGCCCACTAAGTGTGTCCTCTGTCAGTTATATCCAAGTGAAAGGGAGCATCATCTGTCCAAATTATCTTTGTCTGGATAACAAATCCTTTTGAATAGTTTCTCTTTAATCTGAATTTACAGTAGTTAGCATAGAAGTGTTTCAAAAACCATTTATTCTATTGCTGACTGCTAAATGTGACACATATTAGAAATTATTTTATGGAAAACCCTTAATCGGATACAGCCATATTACTGTCAGCTGAAATACAAACAGGAGAGAAATGGAAAGATATTCTCCTTGAAAGTCATTTGGTATTTATAAAATCTTGTCTCAGTTTCGCTCAGAAGGTGTAAATACGGTATATTGTGTACAGCTCATTATGATGAGTGAGGAGGAAGGCCCGGTTTCTCTTCATGTCAAACTGCTCATGAACACACCACCCACTGTGCAAATGTCAAATGACTTCCTGAGTGTTCAGCCCACATTAACATTATTCATCCTGACAGTCACGAGTCCTGTGAGAGAAAACTCCCTCCTCCTCTCCAGGTGGATTCAAATCAGATTGAGCGCTTGTGTTTGCTCCACACTGGAATGCAAATTGACAACACAGGGAGAGAAGCAGTTTAACAGAAATTAGGTATGGTTGGTGCTTAAATAGGTCAGCTGTAATTTACAGTTAAAAGGGCCATATTATTTTGAGGTTCACATTTAGATTTTACTCGAAAATGTTTACATACATTAATGTTCTTAAAACATATGAGATTTGCCCATTGCCATTATTGGATTAGAGATCTCACAGTCGATGCGATGGTCATTTCCAAATTTAATTTAGAAATGAATATAGAATGTTAATATTCTATGCCAGGTCAACAATAACGGTTGGTAATATCACTGTTTTATCCAGTCCACCCAAAATCATCTGTGTTGTGATTGAAAGCGAGCAGCACTGCAGTCATGTCCACTCTTCCTGTAAGTTTGACTTTGGTCTGTTTTGGACACTACTAAATTCTGCGTAAACCTAGACAAGTTCTTAGCACGTACACACTGCTGTTCATCATTGTGTATGCAGGTGGGGCACATTTAAAAACATTTCTATATGAAGACAACCCAATTCCTTATGGAGATGTGGATATCTTTAACCCTGTGATTAAGAATTATTTAGGAATAATCATGCATTCAAAATATCCTTCTCCCTCCGATATTATCATCAAACCTGATTGCAGGTTCATCATGTCAGCCTATCCTGTCAGTAAAGGCAGTTCCCTTACTGTCTCGGTGACCCCTGACCAAGGACAAATTCTTGTTGAGTTGCGTGACAAGACAGTGACGAGGCTGTGACTAAGTCTGGTGAACCAATGGGGAAACAGCTATGGTGATGATTGCAGTTATGATGGTGATGTCAGTGTGACACTGACATGTCACGGCTGTCCTCATTAAAAGCATCTGAATTCTAAGCAGACCTTACAGCTGGCTCTGCTGCCAGATCACATGATTAGTGAAGGGATGGATTAATTACATACAATCAGAAGTCACAGAAACACAGTGAGAGGTTCTGTTTTGTTAAGGTTTCAGAAAGGCTCTGAACGAGGGGATTTTTTTCCTACAAAGGCAAATGAAGGTCTGATTTTGTTGTGATTTATGTTTCAAGTTCAATGTTTTCATTTCAATTTGTGTCAGTAGCTTGTGTGTATGTGTGAAAGAGACAAAGGAGCCTTGTTTGAATGGTTCATACTATCTATCAATCATGATCAGAGACCATTTCAAGGTTGTCAGCTTCCTCTGATGTGATCACTTGTTCTATTGTTGTCATGTTGTCATTGTTGTAACATTTTGCCCCCCTCATGCATGTAAATGGGGTAGACACGATATTAATAACTCTTTTCAATATAATGCACTCCAGTACACCACCACCGCCCACTACGACCTCAGTAATCAACATAAAGTGAAGTTATCACCTTTCTGATCTGTCCTGTTTATCATTATGTCTCTTCTTGACCTCAGACAACAATGCCAATCTTTCACCTTCGAGGCTGTCCTGGGTCTCTCCAGCAGGATAGGGAGGACAAAAGTTTACCTCTGCCTTTCTGGGTTTTTTGACATCATAGGCAGGCTTACATCTATCTGCAGTTTTGTGCTTGAGAGAATTAATGCTCAGTTCTTGGGACCCCAAGTTTCTAAGCTTTGTCCTGTAGTTTGCCATCTTGTACTTAAGGCTTATTTTCCATCCGTAGAAACCACTTGAAGATCCTTGTTCTCTCAAACATGGATGTGCTTTGATTAAAGCTTCAGCAACAGATTCTATCTATCCATAGTTTGAAGGGTATGCCTTGAACTTGATGATTTGCTCAGCCAGACTTTCCAAGATGTCTGATTTAAGTTTGTGACTGGGGCTCAGAAGAACTCCATTTGATATGAAGGCCTGGTTTGCACTGTGAAGTTGCATCTCCACATCATATGGAAACTTTGGTATTTGGAATTCTGTGGGCCACTGTGATCGAGCACTTACTGAATCAGAGGAGGAGAGTAATATTGTGTCAGGAGATGAAAAAGATGCGTCATCCCCACTCTGGTTCATGTTGCCTTGGTTAAAGTCTGGAGCATCTGACAAGTGGATGATTTTCACTGTGCTCTTGCCTTGAATATCACTAATTTGGTTAAGGTTAACAAACTCATTATCAAAGTCACTGTCCATGTACTGGAGTCTAATGCCCCCCTCTATATCAAAATGATGTTTGATCTCGTTTGAAAGATCCTCCACAGACTTTGGCAAGCTCGATTCTATGGTCAGTTTTTCAGCATTGTTGGCACCAAGGATAATCTGCAGTTTTACTGGTGCAGCCATCATCAAAATGCTTCAGTCTAGAAAAGACAAAAATACAAGTATAAAGCCATTAAATACGTATACATTAAAAGCATTAAAATTGGAAAGTCAACAATCAGCTTTGATCAAATGTAAAACAAACTGGACATTGAAGCAAACAGTGGCCATATTCACAAAATCTTATCTTACCACTAGGGACCCTCTTAAATGCGGGTTACCTCGTGTGAGCCTCTCAAACAACTGCTATTTGTGAAAAAACAGTAACTCCTATCAGAAACATGACCAGACCATGACAGGCACAAGACCTTTGTGCACTGAGTATCTGGCTTTGGTTTTTTCTAGAACCAAAAATGTGGACACCGGAGCATGGTACAATGCGCCTGCAATGCTATTATTATTATGTGCCTGCAATGCTATTGCATTGCAGGCACGTAATAAAGATTTGAATAACAATAGTTTGAATGCCTCAACATGCTATATTTACTGTAAAATGATCAATCAGAGTGATAGTTAGAAGAAACAGACTATCTTTTTTTAAGTTATTCTTTCAGGCTTTTACCTTTATTACAATCATAGTGAGAAAAAAATATGGAGAAATTGGAAAATATCTTCAACATATGGCTTGCTCACTTGTATGATTGTATTCAACTTTGTTGTTGATCCACAATATAATATAACTACAGATTTAAACAGGATAATCAAATGCCTCATTTTCAATTTTACTTCATTAGAAAGTTCATTCAAAAGAGGTTCTCTTCATGGTCCACATCAACTCTGATAGTTTCTCAGTCTTCTTTGTGTTCACACTATAGTTCCTTACTTTACTATAGTTCCTTGACTGCTTTGGATTATGGGTAGTTTTCACTTGGAAAAAGATGTCTGCTGCTATATTTGTCTGTGACACACTGTGATGCTATCATTTAATAAAGATTAAATTCAACTGACTACAATAGGCCTACTTCTGCATTATGATTAACCTATGTGCTATCATTATATCATAAAGTGAGGTGTGTGTAAGAAAGAAGTGTAGTAGACGTTTACATGTACAATGACAAAATGTGGAGCGAACCTGCAGTGCTTTGTGTTCCCATTGCACAGGTTAAGCGCAATTACCTCACCACAACTGATCTATAAATCAATTTTCTGAAACCACTACCTGAAAAGATCTCTTGAACCATTTTCCTTCTATCCATGATTTATACTTGGACCATACAACTCTATTCATATTAATTATCTGATATGGTCAAGTGTAATCTTGAACTGGCTTGTCTCTCTACAGTGGTGCTGGGTGTGCCGACAACATACGGCCAGATGGAGATGAAAAGGGTTGTTGGAAACAATGCCACACTGCCCTGCCACCATCAATTCTTGGTGGGTGATGATCCCACTCTGGACATTGAATGGCTGCTTCTCAAGCCAACCAACAGACAGAGAGTGGTGAGTGTCTCTCGACGCAAGAGGTTTAATATATATTCAGGAAGGAATTAAATAAAATAAAATTAATTTTTGCCCACAAATCTACACTTAAAGCCTGACACATGAAAAACATCAGAAAATTCAAAGTTTTTGAAATTTAAGTCTTCATTGGACCTTTTGAAAAAATCAAAAAATGTTTTTTATGAAATCATTTGCATATATGATATTTTTTTTGTATCATATTTGATTCATCAGGAATTGATGGCAATTTATTGACCACAACAATGTTTATTTTAGAAACAAAATTAAATATTGCTCATTGCATTTGAAACATTTCAGTTCTGGTTCCGTTTTTTTCAAACAGGAACCTTTTACAACCTTTATTTTGCCTTGAGGTAGGAAAAAAGAACAGCAAAAAAAAATTCTGTCATCATAGAGACAAAGATAGACTTTACATTTCCAACATTTGTGGTACAACGTATTAGTACGCTTAATGTGCAAAATGCTACAGTACTCTGCAGCAAGTCATAAAGCTGTTCATGTAAACTTATCCTGTAAACCTACTGTAGGAACTATGCATTCAAACATTAGACCACATTTAAATAGCTCCAGAATCTATGCATACTTTTGTTCATGTTGAGAAGAAAACATTACTGAACAAACTAGTACACACACCATAACAAGCCTAAAAGTACTCATATCAAGTTATTCATTTTGAGATACTTCAAATAGAGGAGCAATGCACATGACCACTGTAGAAGTATTTCCTGCATATAGTACATGAGTCCTTCCAGACAATGCTTTTAGTTCTGTTGCATGGCACAGCACTGGTGCACAACTTATATATACAACAGGACAGTCTCATCTGTTTCAGAAGAAATCAAGGTTTTTGTCCTGAAGGTGAATCAGTGTCAGCAATTTCAGAATTCGGTCTCGAAACATTACATCACAAACTTTGGGATGCTTTGTTTTCATCTCGCAATGGCTCGTACATTGGGCATCTGTAGTAACCCCATGTACATGTACATACCCAGAACCTGCCCAGTTTCTTTAGCAGTTGTGTTTACTGACTTTCCATCTTTTTCATCGTTTTCCGTAACCTCTCAGTAGCTGGAGAAAGAACATTCAGAGGCACTGTCACTGCCTGAGGTAACATGATCAGAGATGATGTGGTCATTGTCTGATCCACGTGTTGGCTGGTCCTGCGTCTAAGCCAGAATTTCTGGGTAAGGCTGTCTCCTGCTCCTATTGAGGGAGAGCCTATCTCTACGCACTTGGTGGCCTTTTTTCACCTCCCTTTGGGCTGTTGTGAGGGTGATCTTTTTAGGTGACAAGTCTGTGTGATGCGACTGGCAGGCTCAGTTGGGGTGTGGCTCAAGTGACCATGTTTTCCCAAGCCATCTGTGTCATCATGCTCATCTTGATGCATCATCAGTTCAATGTGAGTGGAGGTTCTGCAGGAACAAGGACTTGAAGATGGAGTTTTCTTCTAAGCCTGGTGTGTTCCTACCCTGAAAATATGCATGCCTCAAACGTTGGTAATAGTCATTGGCATGCTCATGGCACAAGTGTTTAATTTGGGAAACTGCAACCAAAGATTCTATCTCTTCAGCAGCAGAAATGAATTCTTCTGTCAGTGCATGACAGAGCTTTTTGTAGTCATTTCTGACACTGGGAGGGAGTGACTTCATAAACTTGTGGACTGCTTTAGAGCTGGTCTTCCACACAAGTTTAGTTTTCTCCCTTTGGGTTGTGATCTAACTCCCTAAAATATCTGTCATGTGATGATCACAGTTGTCTTGACCAAAATCTTCATTGTCCTTAACTATAAACTCAAGCACTTCAAGGCGGGAGCATCTGAGGTCCCTTCATTCTCATGGAAGTACAGAGAGGAGGCTGGACAGTCCTGAAAGTTTTGGTCCTCCTGTGTGAGCACATGTGTCATACAGCAGTGGCTGATGGGAACATAAGTATTCACTAAAGGATATACTACCTGTCTCTTCAGTGTCAGTTTCAGGAAGATGGGAAGTCAGGTGGCTGTAACCTCTGTCTTTCAGTGGAGGTTGAGGAGCTGACTTCATTCCCAAGGACTTAGGGTTAGTTGGGAATTGGTCCCATCTTCTGAGTGGAGGTGGGGTCAACCATTCAAGAATGTGAATCAGAGTAACTAGTTTCAACAATTCCTCCTTGTGTGAACAGACATCTAACTCTGCTGTGTGCAGGTCTTCTAAATAGTGCATGGCTTTCTTATTAGCTACCCGAACTTCACGGAGGAGAAGAGAATTTTGAGCTCTAAGTGATTTTACCTCCTCATCTAGGTGCTTGGCTCTGAAGGGGAAGGCTGGTTAGCCTGTGAAAGTTCAGGAGCAAACACCTTAACAATGGGCATTTGGATGAGGTCTGGGCATCACACCTGTCACTGAGTAGCAAGTTAATTTCTTTACTGCACTCACTGGAATTTAATCTGCTGATAAATTCTGAGTCGCCAGGCTTGAGGCTTGGGTAGGGGTAGAAATAGGGGTAGAAATAAACTGCTCTACACAGGGGTTCTCCATAACTGGAATAGAGAGAGTTTAAACAAGTTGTCTAGCAATGTAGTTGGCTGTGGTGTTGCACTGGCAGAGACCTTGTAGTATAGCTTGAGCAGTACACTAGCCTAACCAAACGATGCAGTGACTTACATTATGGGGTTAGCTCCTTGTGGAGGAGGGGTAGCTACACTAGTGGGCTTAAAAGATTGGGGACAGATACAGCATGCCCTCCAGCACATATTTTAGCCAGTATGGCCGGGCCGTGGCGAGGCCTGGATTTAACTGAAAATTTGGGTACTACTGACCCCCTTTAATACATCAGTAAAAAAGTTAGTCCACAGATACCTTATTGATACAGATGACAAAAGATGGACTGAGACAAGGATTTTCCCCCAGATTACAAATTTATTTAAAAGGTCAATATATACCAGCTGTTTCACGGGGTCTTACCACCTCGGGACATGGGGGTGGATAGAAACTGGTGCTGGCAGAAGAGTCAGGTGCTGTAGATAATGCAGAGTTGAGTGCTGGATCCACTTCAGATGGGGTCTGCACCTCTACTGACCGGGGGTTATTCAGTCCAGGTACACATCTCACCACCACCCATCGATCCTACTCTTTGTCTCGGTTAGTGGGTGGGTTAGGCCTAATCACAGGGATGGGATGAGCACCAGAGGCAGGTGCGGGTTTAAGCTGGGAACGGTGAACATGACGCACCTCGGCTGGCCTGTCTTATGGGGCAACAGCATACATCGCACCTCCTTGGCCGGGGGGTTCACCACCTGGAAGATTTCGGGGACCAGCGGACTGGAATGGCTACTGTGTTGCCTGATGGTGGATGCTGCCTAAACAAGTCATCTGCATTGTGATGCTGCGTCCTGGGCAATATCTCACAGTATAATCAAAGACTGCCAGCTCAGCCACCCAGCACTGTTCTGTGGCCCCCAATTTGGCTGTGCTTAGATGACTGAGGGGGTTGTTGTCTATCCATACCACACATTTCTGACTTAGCAGGTACTCACGGAAGTTGTGGGCCACAGCCCACTTCATGGCCAGGAACTCAAGTTTCATGGAGCTATAATTTTTCTCTGCAGGGTGGAGGCTCCGGCTGGCATAGGCCAGAGCTCATACAAATCTATGTGAGAAAGGGGTCAGTGAACCTCTCAATCTCCTGCCATTTAGTAGAAACCAGTACATAATATCAGCAAAATTATCAAACTGTCAGCACCACAAGACTCTCCTGAACAAGTCTGTGTGGTTTAGGTGTTCTTAGAGTAAAAAATGTGGAAAGGGGAACAAGTTACAAAAAAAGGTCAGTTCCACTTTTCTCCTGAAATCAGCTCCTGAATTTGTATTGCAGTCTATGGGAGAGTTGGAGGGTACTCCTATCACTTTGAGGCTCACTGTCCAAATTCTGTTAGTCTCTGTGCTAAGGTAGACACTTTCTATGAAAGTGTACAAATTTGTCTACAACCTAGGTAGAAATGATGTGTGAAGAAAAACTGTGATAAATCAGAAACTCTTGAAGATATCAATAAGCTGAATAATCAATTAATAGCTGAACGTCTTGTGAACAATTTAAAGTTTGAATGAAGTGTAACGTACATACTTGGCCTGGCATCAGTCACAAGCCATTAAAAAAGTTCATTGAAAGGACATGCAGAGTTATCGACCCACAACTGACACTTTGTGACTCTTCACACCATCAAACTATCAAATTGATAGGAAACAGAGACAAAGGACCCCTCTACCACAAACAGACCATGTATTTAGCATGTCAGAGAGACACAGAACCAGACCAAGTGTCAAAGGGTCAGCTCCAGAGGATCAACCAATGGACACCAGTCAACTGGAGAATATAGGCAAAATCTCCAGTTTGTAACAATAAGACTCTCATATTTGATTGTTTCTTATATAGGAAAAATAACACCAAAAGGACTGATTATCACTAAAGTGTGATTCCTGTCCTCTCGGTGCCATGCATGAACACACACACACACGCACGAACACACCCATCTCCCTTCCTCTGTCCCTCTCTAGATAAGAGTCATAAACTACAACCCATATTCCAATCCTGGGTAGTGACCAGCAGAACTCTCTTCACAGACACAGATCTGAGGAAGAATGTAAAATTAAATATCTAGCTGTTCTGTAACTCATGAGATGTTCCTATGCAATAGTTTAATCCCAAACATCTATCCTATAGAATGTTTGAAATGTAACATGTAGATTTTAAGACAATGTCCTTCATGTGACCATACTGTCAGCATCCTTCACACAAGGTAACACACACTACATGACATCCAGAATGTCCCTATTATTATTATTATTACAGTCAAAGAACTGCTGTGTAATCCACATTTATAGACTATTAGCTTTGGGAAATGTTTATATTGTTGTTGTTTGATCAGTTAACCACTTGTATTATGATTAATTCCAGGTTTGAAGGATGTAATATGAAATCAACACTCCTATTACTCCTCTCTGCCATTATTAGTGCCATTAGGTTTATATGTTATTTCATTTAATGTTTTGTGGTCACGGTGGAAGATGGATGTGCGAGTTTATAGGTAAACTTAAAATTAAAATTTCAAAAGTTCCGTGGAAATTACTCTGTTCTCCAATTTGAAACAAAGGAGAAGACGGGTGACGCCCCTGAAACGTGCGCCAGCCCCCAGGGGATAAAACAGTCGTGATCAATTCACACATGGCTAAGACAAGAGAGGCTAAGAGAAGAGAAGAGAGCAACAATGCTAGAAGCAGAAAGGTAGAGCTAGAAAACGATGCAGAAAACTAGAAGCTGAGAACTTTGCTCAAAGCTCAGAGTCCCGGCTCAAAGCCCGGCTCTGTAGCCATGTAAACTCCTAGCTCTAAGCTGCTCACCACAGACTCATAGCTCTTAGCCATTTTTGCACTTGATCGTTTTGTCCGCCTCCTTTGTTATTTCTTTGCCACAGGCTCCAAGTAACATTATTTTGTCTACACGCACAATCTTTTACTTTTATAAGCCAAGTCAAGACCAACCGAACAAAACAACAGAAGTGCCTCAGAGTAATTTTGTAACTTTTAATTATTATCAAGTTTTCCTTTTTGAAGCTTTTTGACAACTTCAGAGTCATCTGGTCAACGCCAGTCTCCTCTAAAGCCAAAGTGAAGAGCATTAGAGTTTATTTCTCATCAACCCACAAGAGACACCAGCAAATAACACATCTGCACGACCGCCTGCAGAGACGCCGACCAGAAATCAAGAGTGCCCGAGACAGAGTCTCCAGGCAAACTCCACCAGAGCTTAATTGCTGACACACCGTTAGAATCCATCACCGTGATAATGGCATACGGCCTCCAGGAGAATCCACCTAGATCCTTGGTTCCAGCCGAGGGTCTTCAGCTACAGCACAACTCACAATAGGCCGGTCTTAACACTCTGCTCATGACTGGGTTGATGTTGAAATATAGCAATATTTAATAATCAAATATCATTTGTAGACGTAGTATCATTAGCTGCATAGCCACAGTGTATAGCCATAACATATTCTATCCCACCATTGCCAACTCATCACACTGCTCATTTCATTATTATTTTCATCTTTATGATTATTACACCTTGCATTTACTCTGTAGATAGTAGTTTAGTTAATAAACTCCTTTATTTACACCCAGTTGTTGTCCTGTTGTATTCTTTTGACGTAGAGACTGGAGATCCATTGAATCGAGAAGTCATGGCTTCTGATATGAGATTGATACATTTATCAATGAAGTAATTTATTGTTGTCCTTCCAGAGGACTGGTGCCCCATTTCAACGAGAGTAAATTCTAAATTATGGCGTTAGCGCTACAGAAGTCTGTAGCTGAAACTATTCTGAAGTAGTTGAAGTTCAAAGATGCTGAAGTTTTCAAAAATTTGAACATTGTCTAGCAGAAAATAACACAAAAAGCTTAATATTTCAAAAAATATAAATATTAGAAATAAGAAAAGTAGATGCTAGATGCCAAAAAAGGGGCAGAATAAAAAAGATGATTTGATGTGATCAGCATTCACACTAATAAAGTTTTGGATAACAATAGTGTGAATGACTCAGAATTCATACAAATTCAAATAAATATACAGGATTGTTACATATGCCTTCAATGCTTTGCATTACAGACACAAAATAAATGTAAATTCAGCAGCAGGCACATGCCCTGAGCAGCGGATTGCTGGTTTGAATCCCAATTACGCCGGAGTCATTGCTGCAATATAATAATATATTCTGAAAGCACATGTGAATGTACATATTAAGAAACAGATTGTTGTTATTTGTAATTACTGAGTTCCTAATTTATCTTTAAGGAGTGCATAAAATAATTAATATCTCAAAAACTGTTTGATAGACATGTGGCCCTTGATTCAGTGCTTCACATAGTCATAAATTTGGTGTGATGGCACCACTGTGTGGCGTGATATCAATATTACATATGACCAACACTGATATCTTTATACCTATATTTTCTCTTTCATGGTCATGTCCCTTGCTTTGACCACAATAACACCCTTTTGTATACATCAGTAAAAAGAGTGGCAGCAGCAAATTATAGCAGACTGCAGCAATCACATGCACTTTCTTCAGAAAATGCAGAATTTTCTAGTTGGTAGTTGTCATAGAGATGTTCCATATTGTTTCACTTACTGTATATGCCTTACCTTGTTAACCCATCGCAAACCTATCCACCAATTTCATTTTCCCCAACAGGTGATCACCTACTTTGCTGGACGGGTTTTTGACCCAGATGAAGCAGAGCATGGCCGAGTAGCCTTTGCTGGAGACTATTTAAAAGGCGATGCCTCTCTGCTGATCAGTGACTTGTCTCTGACAGACTCAGGAGAGTACAGCTGCAAGGTCAAAACTGGTGTACAATACCACTGGAGCACAATCAGCCTCATAGTGCTGGGTAAGTGGTTGACAGAAGCCATAGACAGAGAGAAAACACATTTGAACTTGAAGTGTCCTACAGCATACTGTGGTATTCTGAAAGTGTGTTTGAAAATTCATAACCATGATGTCATCTCTGGAGCTCTCATTCAAATACTAATAGGATATGAAAGAGTGAACTGGAATTAATTGTAGTCCCCACTTCTGTGGTTTTCTGTCTCTTTGAGTTAACTAGAAAAAATGGTTAATTGTGTACAAGGAAAGAACACATCAGTTAGTATTTCTGCACATTTCTGATCAAAGCTAGCATGCCTATAATGCGTACAGTGCCACAATAAGAGTAAACACCTCTTTAGATTAACAAACCCCAGCAGATTTTAGCACCCAATTATTTATTTGTTCATCCTCCGGTCTACTGAGGAAGCCATTCCTTTTCCAAGAGGCAAGCTGGACCTTAACATGGTTAAGAATCAAGTCAGTTCTTACAGCAGTGCAATTCCATTCCCTGTTGCACCACATTGGCACTCAGAATAGTGGTTGTACACAAGTGTTCTTGCTTTTCTGGCTTCTTTTTCTAGCTCTTCTAGCTAGATGTCAAGCTAGATGTCAAGTTAGATGTCAAGCGTGCTTTGGGCTTACCAAACCTCTCTTCTTCCTCCTTACTTGCAAAACCAACCCTGTGGATCAAAGAAACATTATAGAATATTAAATCTGCCAAGTTTATGTTTCCTGTATAATGTACCACATATACACGTACATATACTTTGTCTAAAGCAAAGTATATCTGCTAACTGCTTCTCCAGTCAGCTGCCTGCTATTTTACACAAGGATGTACTGCAGCAAAAATCTGCTCAGCCCTTGTTAGCACAGAGAGCATCAATCTTCAGTGGAAAAACTGGTGGGTGAGGATATGTAGTAGTTTAAAGGTAATTCTTGAGACAGTCTTGCCAGTTCAGAGTATAGTTTATTTGAACACAAGTGCTCGATGACAGACGATATATATGCAGATAGACGCAAGCGACTATTACCAAATCCTACTTTTTATAGAGCAACACAAACACCTCACATCTCTTGTGTACGCGATTGTGGTTGTGGATTGATGAGTTCTGGAGCAAACAGTTCCCCTTTCCAGTAACTATTGATAGACGTCTGCCACCACAGATAAAACGTGAAGATATCTGTTTTTGTCTATCCGCAGTGAAGCCATCCAAGCCACAGTGCTGGTTGGAGGGCAAACTTCTGGAGGGAGGTGATGTTAAGATGAGCTGCAAGTCTGCGGATGGCTCTGATCCTATTCACTACAAGTGGGAGAGGGTACTGGACAAAGTCAAGTATGTTGGCAAGCTGCCTCCATTGGCCATGATAGGTAAGTCAACTCATATATTGGAGTATTTGTCTACCAAGATACTCGAGTGGCCAAGATTAGACCAAGACCAAGAGTTATTTTTTTTATTTTTTTGTTCAAAGTTTAAAATCTAAGAATTCAAAACTAACAAGATGTTACAGCAAAAAAGAAGACCATTAAGAATAAAAGACACTAAGCAGGGTGTAACCACACGTGACTTGAACAGATTTGTAGCAGTGATAGAGTTGTGATTTATCAGTTGGGTGTCTCTCTTTGTCATCCAGCCAGAGTGGACAGGGAGTCCGTTCAAGAAATGTGTTAATGTGTGGTCATACCTTCAGATCTTTGACATTATTATTTCAATATTCTTATTCTTTTTCTTCTCTTTCTGATCACTGTTAAGCACACATACAGTTTCATAAGTTGACAATGAAATAAATTTCAGCTTGCACAAAGCATTTGGGAGAATTATTGAATTATTTTCTAGTTTAGTTTGAAACCCCAAAATAAGACAAGAATACACTCTGTTTTCTTTGTTGTAACTCAAAGACTTGAAAAACCCAGAAATTGTGACATTGAGGAACTTGACAAAGGACAGCACTGGAGTCTACAAATGCACAGCCAGCAACGATGTAGGAGAAGAAAGCTGCACGGTGGAGGTTAAGATGCACTGTGAGTGGACAACCTTTGCTGATCACTGAACACTGCATGGGCATAAAATCTGCACCACTTGATTGCACGTTTTCTCAGAAGTGATTTTCACACACAGTTCCTCTAGTCCCTCACTGAAACCATCACTCACCTTAATTTGCCACACTTACTATATGTGACTGACTTAAGTAATATTTTAGAACCAGTACGAAAAATCGGTTAACTGAATTACATTGCTGTCCCACAATCTTCAGTTAATTGGTCACGAGAAATTTAATGGCTGGGGCCAGGAATATTGTATATTTTCTTACCAACCAACAATGTCCATCCCTCAATTTCAGATGTCCCATATCCCACCTGTGGCTTTCAGCCCCAAGTTAATTGGTTTCATTTGGAAGATGTGAATCTTTAGAAATTGCTTGCAAATATGTAGTTTAATTTTGTAACTAGAATTGCAGTTGTATGCCTCCACCAACTAGTCAAGCTGCAGGAAAACTGGTCACTTGTGCTTCTCTTCCTGAGTTATAATTTTGAATAATAGTGATAAGTATGTTTGTAGAACATTATGATGTCACCATGGCATTTGTGTTAAATTGTGTCATAATTCGAACTTTTACCTTTGACCACTAAATTCTTATACGTTTATGCTTGAGTTCAATTGGTCATTTGTGCCAAATGTAATGAAATTCTCTCTAAGCCTAGCTGATATATTATGTTTACAAGACTGGGACGGATGTGATGTCACACTGATCATGACCTTTGACCTTTAATCACCAACATCAAATCAGTTCTTCCTTGAATCCAAATGAATGTCTGTGCCATATTTGAAGAAATTCCTGCAAAGCGTTCTTGAGATATCATATTGAATCATAAACCAAATCTAGTCAGTTCATCCTCATCATAATTTTTTGAGGACTATCTTTAGTTGATGGGTTAATACAGTGGAATGGTGTACGTGGGACTTAATCACGATAAACTACGATAGGTATGTTCATGTCAGTAAAGGATAACGTGACCCAGCAGTAATTGACTCATTGAGGATTTCGTAGGGTTTTTTTGTATTATTTTATTCCTGATTTTCTTTCATTGGAACAAGCACACACACATTAAACACAATAGACAAAGCGCTGAGTACAATTACACAAGTTGATAAAGAGACAAGGGATTCATACTGAGAAATCCCAAGAGCAAAGTATTGATGATATAAGACAGATCTTATTCAGAGGACAGATACAATATAGCAGCAAGGCTCATAGATTATGTAGTTATGTCTCATCAAGCATAGTCAAAAATGGCTTCCACACCTTCAGGAAAACATTTTGTAAGTTATGTTTGTTATAACACATCTGTTCCATCTTAATAATGGAAAGCATTTCACTGGGCCACCTATTGAAATATGGGGGCAATTGAGACTAGTAATATTATTTTTTTAGCTACAACCATGCCTGCTTTAAAAGCCTGCTTATGATGGGAGGGAAGAGCCCTAGTCCTATCAGAACAGCCAAATCGTGCCATGGTATAATCTGGCTGAATGTTAGTTCCATATTGTTTAGAAAGCCAATTAAACATATTTCACCAGAAATGACCTAGTACTGGACAATAAGTGTGATAGTAATCCTTCAGCAGTGCCACATCTGTCACACATAAGAGAAACTGATTCAAATATCTTACTAAGTTCAGTTTTAGAGTAGTGCAGTCTGTGTGAGACTTTAATTTGAATTAATCTTTATCTGGAATTGATAGGATATCTATGCATATTGGCCAGGTTCCTCTCACACAGGCCCAGGCCTCCCTAAGACAACCGGCTCTCAATGGTACAGCAAAGGCCATAACAAAGCTGGAGATCAGGGCCCGTATTCAGAAAGCATTTTATTTTACCGCTAAGAGTACTCCTAAGCTGCACTAAAAGTTTTTAACTAAACGTTTTCAACTAAAGGTTTTCGCCTATGTCCTATTACTATTAAATATTTATTTATTATTAACTATTAAAGGATTAACAAAGTATCTATCTATCTATCTATCTATCTACCTATCTATCTATCTATCTATCTATCTATTCACAAAGCTGCTGAGACAAGTGAAAATTCTTATCCCAAGAGTGCAACTCCATTGCTATGGCTGACGTCAATTTTCATCGACAAGCTCACTTACAGGAACCACAGCGATTGGTTAATGAAAGACCAGTGTGTGCCAGTGAAAACGCATGAACAACATCCAACAGTAATAATAAAAAATGCTCTAAGAAATAAAATAATACAAATTAAATAATAATAGATTGTGATTGTGTGCGGCTTACAAAAGTAGTGCATTCTCCAAAATGCATCTGTATGATAGTTTTTTGTAGACCCGGGAGAATTTACTTTTATAATAAAAACTTCAATTCACTCACTGGAGAAAAGAAAAACTCACTTGACATAGATTATCTAACTAAACCTATTAGCCTATTAGCCAACAAGTCTGGCAGCACATAAAATAATTAACAAAATGGTAGTTAAGTAGCTTCATAATAATGGTGGTAGACCCATTATGACAAAAACCAAACTGGACACAACACCAGTTGCTGCTCCTTGCACAATTGGTGTTCGAAAAACGGCATATTATAAAAGGAAAATTTGGCACCGGCGTTACATCGAAAACAAAACGCGAAGCGTGGCAACAAATAAGCTTCAACATAAACGCAGCATTCCTACTCATCCAGGGGAAAGCTGATGACTGAGAGAAGAGGTGGCACGTGCTACAAGCTCAACCAAGAGCAGATTGCAGCATTCTGCAACAGGTAAGACTAATAACATAGCTTGATTGATTTCAATTACACACATGGCAAACTTTTTTTTGTTATTTTCACTTATATATTTTCACATGTAGGCCACACATGTAGTATTATGAACTACTGGTAGTTATATCAGTAGTTAATAAAAACATTCATGCATTTGTTGGGTAAGGGGGAGGCTCGGCACCTAAGGCACTACCCCCAACTGCCTCCATGGTATATATCAGAATCAGAATCAGAATCAGAAATACTTTATTAATCCCCTGCAGCCCAGTGAGTGTCCTAGGCGAATCACACACAAGCTTAACGGGCCTGGAGGGGTGCATTGATCCTGCAATGCAATTAGTTGTGGAGATGCATGGGTATGTATGTAATGATTGCAATCCTGACAAAGAATTTTGTTGTGATTGTTTATGAAAGCCATCAAATAACAATACTGGCATAACAAGAAACCACCAATGAAATATAAGTGGTCACAAGTTAATGTTTTATTATCTCTGTCCCTTAGGGCAAATCAAGACCCTGATCCTGCTGCTCTCCCCCTTTCGGCTCCCCTTCCTCCAGCTGCTCCCCTCCCAGCTCCCTTTCCTCCAGCAGCTCCTCTTCCCCTTCCGGCATCTGGTCCTCCCAAGCACCTTTCTCAGCTCCTGCCTCTCCTCTCCCTCCTGCTGCTGGTGCTGGCCCATCACCCCTGCTGTAGCAGAATATGAGGTTGGAGATAAGAGTGTTAAAGAAGCAGAAGATGTTCTTGAGGCAAAAGAGAGGCTCCTCAAGTTAAAGATTGAGTATTACAGCCTCCAGATTGAAAAAAGGAAAAAAAACTTAACTCAGAATAAACTTTAATAGCCAACAATTTGTGTCTTGACTGATCTGTGTGCAAATGTGATAATTTACCCAAAGTGCATATTGACAAAGTGATCCCTGTATGCCAGTCCACTTTGTGCCATGTCAACTGCAACTTGGTTTTCATCATCATCATCATCATCATTGTCGTCGTCGTCGTTGTCATTGTCAACATCATCCCTCTGGCAAAAGCTGATAGAGACTATGTGCGCATACCAAAGTTTTGCTCATTCCTTTTTAGCATGATGCAATTTTTTTTTCGTTGGTTATTTCCATGTAAAACACTTAAAAGAAAGTGATCACAACCCGGCTCACAGGGGAAAGGGAAGCAACACAAAAAACAGTTGTTGACAGGTGTAGAGTTGTTTATTGCAACATAAATTCGTGGAGGTAAAGGTTAACGGGGACAAATAAAACCAAGGAAAGGGGCCGGTGGGTGCTGTTCAAATCAAAAAAGGAGGACTCTCTATGAGCTAATACTTTCTTATCTAACTAATTCACGGTAAAAGGAAAACAAAAGCTGACTACTAAAGCTAACTAAGAACCAAAAACTAACCAAAAAACACAACAGAAGCAGCAACCCTGCACCTAGTGTGTCTAACAAAAGTAGTGTGAACAGGTGGAGAAATCAGTAGTGTAGTCAGTATTTCAGAGTCTAACCCTGGCCCCACTTCCAGGTTTTAAGGAATACACAGGCAGGACTAAACACAAAACAAGCTAACAATAGCTGTTATTTTTCACTATCTTAAATTCACCAGCTCTAACAATACAACAAGGCGAGCTGCCACCAACAGTCAGCCGCCTTGACTGACAGGCTGGCCGGAGTTTTATAGCTGGTGGTTCCTGATTGGGCGGCAGGGATTGGCCAGCTGCAAACAGGCCGCACCGATCAGGCCAGAGAGGGTGGAGCATCTGGTTGGACGGAGCAGGCAGCTCGGCAGGCAGCCTGGCAGACAGGAAAATTAAACACAACAAAAATGGCCAGAGTGGCGGCCGTAACAGTGAGAATAACTCGAAAAACTCCTTTATTATGAACATAGTGTGCATGGCTGTTTGCTGCACTTGATCTTCCTCGGCTTGGAGAAAAATTTCACTATGGCATCCATAGTATGGAAAGTTTCCCACAGGCGGCCCATTTATTGATATTTTCATACAGGCTCCAAAGTGCTCTCCCTTTAGCCTGTTCCAGAGGTCGGTTTTCACCTACCAAAAGTGAAGATTTCTCTTTGATTGATTTGACATTTGAAAGCACCCACCACAGCCTCATGTTTGACAATCAGCACTGGCTCAAAGGCTGCTGTGACAGAGAAACCTAGACAATGAGCAAAGTAGGCCAACAAACATCAGTTTCACATTAAAAATCATTATAGGCATATATTGTCAAATTATATCACTGAAATCAAATCATTAGATTAAATGTTACCTTCAACCAAAGTTGTGTGGGCCTGAAAGGCTGCAGTATGGTGGTCTGACCCCATGTTGGCATCCAGGACATCTTTCCTGTACATCTGAGAGGGGACCTCAATGAACATACTTTGGGATGATCATCTTTTGAAAGCCTGCTTATTCTGATGGAATATGCAACAGAACATTCCTATAAATGAAGATTATGTCAATTAAGAAAGTCAGTATATTTATATTATCTTCACAATTATTGCTGTCCCCACCACCCTCTGCCCCTCTCATTTCCCTCCCATCTCCTTTCATTTCTTCCTCCACATCTGTCCCTCTCCCTTCTTCCTCACCTGTACTTTGGTTTGGCTGCCGTGTTTTGGAGAAAAATTTTGAAATATCGTGTTGTCCTTTCCCTGCTTTTAGCTTATTCTTTTTGAGCTTCTTTTAGCTTCTTTTAGCTTTTAGCCATGCGCATGTTAATTACCGTAATTGATCCTAAACCTAATAGGATTGTGGGACATTGTCTAGATTATTTTTCACGCACAAGTTTATTTGAACGCACAAGATTATTAAATGAGTTCGTTCGTCATGATATTGATTGGCTAGCTAATGTTAGCTGATTTCTTAAATAGCATTAAGTTAGGTTCAAAGTTCAACCACAATCATAATACTGATCGTGAACACATTGTAACGTTAGGTTGGAACTTATTGACAGTGAAAGCAATCAGCCAAATACAGCCACATTGCGGTTACATGAGAAAATATGAAATATCATAAGCTTACTATATCTTTGAGAATCCTGGGAGAAGAATCGATGAAGACGAAGTCCAGCATTTCTCAGGTCCAGTCCATCATTACATTGCAGTGCAGCATTCATTCAAAAAGACATGGGTTTGTTTACTAGTTATGACAGAGCCAGCTAGACAGCCTCTGAGTGGGAGAGGGGGGAGGCCATCGGGGAGGCACAGAGAGGAAGGCCGACAGCGCACCTCAGAGGCTCCCAAATGCTTATGATCATTTCCATATGAATAAAAAATCTATGATATTTGGTATTTAAAATAAAATCTTTTTTGGCCTGTTGTTGGCCTGGTGGGGGGTGTCGTTGGATAGAATAGAATTGTGTTCTGCCTGAACATGTGGTCAGACAAAGACAGGCCTGTTCTGCCTGATTTTTGTCTTCAGCCCTCTGAACAAAGAACAAAGCGCCAAAGGCTGCCCCCATAGACTCCAACTCCTAGCATGCTCAGCCGTTCATGCTTGAGGGACATGAGGACTTGTGAAAACATGGAAAGGTTGTAGTATTCACAATTCTGAATTAGGGAAAGCATTATTCATAATTATTTTACTCTTTAATATCATTAAAAGAACACATTGGAAATTGTATTTCAGTGTGATCTTTTAAACTCATTTTTTTCCAATTTACTGTTTCTTACACAAGTGAATATGTGTTTCTGTGTGCATTATGTATTTTTTGTGTGTTCACTTGTTTGTAGATGTAAGGGGAATGGGTGTAGCAGCAGGGGCAGTGGTTGGTGTGTCCTTTGGTGTCCTCATCATCATCCTCATCATCTGGCTGGTGTGTCACAAAAAGGAGATGAAGAAATATGAAGAAGAAGACACTCCAAATGAAATCAGGTATACAATAGAGCTCAGGGGTTAAGTTGAACTCCTACACTTTCATTATGAAGAAAGAGAACTAGCTATGTTGATTGCTATATACTAACTTGTGGGACACCCTGCCTTTAATCCCAACATTGCTCCATAAGTAGGAAAACAAAATTTTCACTCAGTATTTTTTTTTGTTTTTACACACAACTAAAGCAATCCTACAATTAGCCATTTTTGAGTGTCAGACTGAACAATTCAGGCAGGGGAGGGTTTCTCCTTAATAAAGTAGCAAATAACCAAAGGTTGAAAACTATCATACTTTTGTTGTCAACAGCTAAACATTAAAAACATAAGATTTTGTTTATGTTCACTAGATATAACCTCTGTTTAATATCTTATTTACTAAAACAGATTGTCTGCAACAATTGTCTGTATAGTGTTAGCAATAATTTGTCCAGTGTTATTTTAGTTTCACACTTTTACTAAATGTTTATTTGATCTGTCAAAGAAACTTTTTGAATTCATACCACCGCTCATTTCAGGGAGGATGCAGAGGCTCCCAAAGCCAAACTGGTAAAGCCCAACTCCATCTCCTCATCCCGCTCTGGCAGCTCTCGCTCAGACACCTCCTCCACTCAGTCCATGGTACACAACATGGGGCCTCGAGGCCAACAAGGCTGTGTTCCTGCTGTGGTGGCCCTCAAAGAAAACTGCCAAGCCTCCACTTTCCCTCAGTCTCCACCTGGCTACAATCAGACAGTTCCTAAGACTCCTGATCCCCGTTCAACACCTATTTGTACCTCCAACTCCAAGCCCTGCCCTCCCCCTAAACTGAGTCCTGGGAACCTTACCCGCATGGGGGCCACTCCTGTTATGATCCCTGCCCAAACCAAGGCCTTCCAGACTGTGTAGAAGAAATAGAGAAAAACTGTAATCACAGAGAGGAAAAGAACAAGGCAGCCAGCTGAACCCAAGAGGTAGACAAAAAGTATATTATCCAGCTATATTCAGAGTTCACAGTCTGATGGAAAATGTCACCAGTTTTCTTCTAGGAACAAGCCTCTTCTGGTGTTGTTCACTGTCATCTGAACAACATGTGTATAAGTATTGTTTTTAAAGGGGGTGCTGAACCTGAAGCAGCAGTTGGCTGGTAATGGAAGGAAATGATCATACAAACCACTGGAATAAGGGAGCACTCACATCTACTACAGTATATTTTCAACAATCAAACAATCTTGAACACCTTCCTACATATAATAAACCACTTTACACCAGTTGTAAATTAAAATAACTGCACCTGTGACTAAACTGATTAAAGTAGTTTCACAGTAGGTTCTTACAGTATATAGCTGAATTGAATGGCTGTGCTCGTATAAAAAGAGTTTATGCAGACACTTCATACATCCATCAACACCTATGTCACACAATGAACATTGACATAAATGACACTGAAAAATAATGTATGTGTGCCCATGTGTATATGTGCGCAACTCCCCATTTTCACTACTTTAAGCGCAGAACAACAGGGCTTTATTTTTGGGAAGCTAGTGGCATGGACAGCAATCACAGAGCACTGACCACTGTGGTCACACTTTGGTATTTGTGTTAGAAATATTACATTATCATATATTATAGGTGGGCATGATATAGATTGTGACAATAATAGACAATCTCATTCCCTACTTTTAATTCTAGGATTCTAGGATTAGGATTATGCCTGTCATGATCACTGACAATTTGGGAATCTTGTGGAGAACATTTCTTATTGTCTGGGAAGTTTAAATATATCAACACTGAAGCTTGAGTATACTGTCAGGATTAGACTATGTGTTTTTTAACCATCTGCCATTAAATACCACCCTGGTGCCACATGTGCAGTTAAAGTGTAATTAAAAATCCAGTGTAGTTTTTTTATGATGTAATTTATTATTTCTGAAATTATTTTTAATATTTAATATTTGATATTTAATTTTATGATTTCATTGTGTCATAAGGTCTAAAAGGTCTCACTACAATGAAATAGCTACTATGGGGTCTGAGTACACGAGTACAGTTAGGCTTATTGGATCTACAGGTGTCTCAGCTTTCCAGTCATACCCAATTTATGTAGCTCCAGGACTGTTTAAGGCCACAGTATGCTGAAATAATCTAATGCACCATTATAGGATAGGGTTAAAAATAACACATTTATACTGCATGCAAAAAATAGCATGGTTTTTGCCCAAACTGCATGTTATTAACATAAAGTGGGCATGTCTGCAGAAGCCATTTATATTCACATATCTTATGATGAGATGTCAAGGCACTCACTTGAAAATAGCTTTGCCAGTTTTTCCCTCACCAAAATTTAGCCTCACTTTGAAGCATTATTTAGCCCACTTGCCAACAACCTAGCATGGCTGGCTTTGTACCAATGGATACCTTAGATCGTCTCGTATGATAATAGTATTTTCACTCTAGCTAGATGAAAGACAGTATTTTGGCAGACATCGCTGGCTTCCTCAGCAGAATTCATGAGGTCAACCTCTTAAAACCCATGGGGAAGCCACGACCCCGGCCGATACACAGTCTCACAGAGCGTGTAGTGGGCTCAGCTTAAGATACAACTATAACAAAAGGTGATTCTCTGCACTAACAGTTAGCTAACGTTAGGTCATAGCCACACGTGGTCCAGGTTTGAGGCTTGCTAACTTCACTATATGCCACATACACAGAATATATTTGACAAAAAGCACCAGAACCAACATAAATACTTCTAAGTATTACAATATTTTACCTGATTTAGCTTACCTTCTTGAGCAAGCTCCCATGGTGCTTCTCTCCTTCTCTCCTCCATTCTTCCTGCCTGTTGCAGTGCTCCGCTTGTTGCACCCATCAGAAAACAGGCAGAAAAGTAATCAAAATAATCACAAGTGAAGTTTTTTCAGTGAGTGTCTTTTCTGAACAACAGGTGGTGATGTTACGTGAGACGTCGAGGCTTCTTAGTGTGTGTCAAGTACACTTTTCTGGTGAAGCACATGGAATGCTGGAATGGTTCAGTTCTTCATGAAGCTTCATCTCACCATCACCAACATCAGGAACTACCAAAACAATTGATCGCCGACTAGCAGATCAAGATCACTTTGTAGATCACTGATTAAACTTTGTTGGCTTAACTTTTAACAATAAGAATGAAATAAACAATGAATGAATTAAATGCCTGTATTATGAACAAATATTTATTGATGTTCACATCAACCCGTTTCAAATCAAAACTAAAATGCTATTTGTGAGACAGTCTCTCTTCCCCTCATCTCTTCCAGTCCCATCCTCACCCCGCTTCTCATCTCCTCTCACCTCCTTCCATGAAGCATTCACACTCTAATCACGCTCTTTTCTCCTCATTCTCTTTTCCTGTCACCATCCCTGTCTGGAGCCAGATGTAGCCATCTTTTGATGCTGGAATCTGTTTCTTGGTCAGTGGCCCCATACGTCAGACTGTTTCGCCTTACAGCAGCTAAAACACAAATGCACATGGTTTGAAATTAACTTTTTGTATCACCGGCTAATGTGGCCACTTGATTTCAATGGAACTGTTGAAAAACTGTTCCATTAAAACTAAACCCACGCCCTATTGACAGAAATTGTGGTGTGATATTAACATGTAGACACTAATTTTGCAGATGACTGAAAATTAGCTTGTGTGGAACTCAGGAGTGCTGTGGCTACTTAGGTGAAACTAGGGAGTGCTGTGGCCACTTGGGTGGAGCTTGGGGCTGTTTTGCTTCCCTGGGTCTAATGAAGGAGTGTTGTACGGCCTAGGGATCTTTGGCACAGTGGGCGATGTTACTTTCCTGGTGCCTCCCTGCCTAGGGAAAAGAATGTTCTTGCGTCTAATAACACATTGAATAATTTCAAGAACTTTATTTATGTGCATTATTTATTCATGTTGGGCACCACAGATTAATGAAAAACACAACCAAAACACATACAATCTTTCAGCAAGTCCCCTCCATCATTTCCAATCGACAGACTGAGGGAGTTTAAGCCTAGCTTCATTGTAGTCATCTGGAAAAATTATACCAAAAACAAAAGTAATTTTAAGTAATACATGACATACCGTTAGTTAAATTTAAAAGGTAGAGGTGAAAGATTTTAACTTACAGTACATGATGTGAAAATAACTCTGGCCTTATTGGGCTTCCATCTGTCTCCAGAACATTCTTGGGATTTTACAAAACTTTAACCTCAAAAGAAAATGCGACAGCAATTTACGTTTGTTAACCTGTTGGTTATTATGGCCAAATAACCTTAATAGTATTGTAATAAAAGAAGCATTAAGTTCTCTCTCAGTGTATGTCTTCTAAATTTTGTCAAAACTACCAGATGTACCCACACATCAATCATCATTTCAAGCACAGAGCACTGGAAGTAAAAATATATTTTGGAACTTGAGGGTGATAATTTCTATCGGTCCCTAAATACCTGAGGTGATAAACTGACAATCTTCCGAAATCTAGATATGCCAGTTTTGGAGGTGAGAAATTAAGATGGTTTGAACTTTTCTGTCAAGCTTTTTTCTTCATTTTTGACACAACTATTTCTGTCACTTTTCAAGTGAACACATAAGTTCAACAGTAGGAATGAATTTTCAAGTGAACACATAAGTGAACACTATGAATGCCTTTGAGGCAAGACTGGCTGAAAATGTATGCTCTTATCCCTAAAACAATATCATGTCTTTACCTATCCATGATTGACACTTTTTGTACCCTGACCTCCATTGTGGCCATTTGAGTCAGCTTCTGTAGATTCTATAAATGATTACCAGAAATACTGGCACTTTTTGTTACAACAACAATTACATTTTTCCTTTTCCCTGCTTTTACACTCAAGTAAAGCAATTGTAAGTGTTGGGATGAATAATTCAGGCTGGTGGCGATTGCTCAATAATTAATAAAGTAGCCAGTAACTAAGGGTTGAAAGCTAACTGTTGTTGTATGAAGCTAAGCTACTGTTTAGCACAAGGGTTTGTTTATGTTCACTACATAAAACTTCAGTTTAATATCGACTTTACTAAACCAGAATTTGACTGTTTTTATAATGGTAAAAACTGTTATTTAATTTTATCTCTATAATGTTGGCAATAATTTGTCCAGTTAGAGTTCACTCTAATAATAAATGTTCATTTTATCTGTTAAAGAAACATATAATATCATGCCACCATTGTGCTCATTTCAGTGAGGATGCAAAAATCAAATGACAAATTCAATGAATACTTGGGTGAGTTTTAAACACTTTTGATTTCTGAATGTGGCTGAAAAGCACATCATTCAAAGACAAAGTCCAGCACCTGAGGGCTCTACACAACAAAAAACTCTGCCCTGAATGCCCCCTAAAGCCAGTGGAGCCAGGTCATTTAGATTACTGAATGTATCTCTTGCAGCCATTGAGTGTTATATGATGCAGCATGATTGATTTTCTTTGCATCTTTGCATTAGGGTAATTGCTCCAAAAAAGGGTGACATTTCAAGCATTACTTGATCAATGGAAACAACAGTGGCTTTATGGTGCAATGAATAGTGAAAAGTGAAGCCCTCCAGTGTGTTAGGTGTTTGTTGGTTGTTTCTGGTTGGTTCGGCCAAGCAGCTGCCCTATTTTTGGCTTGGATGTGTACAAGTCCAGTTTGTACTTGTTTGGCATAGCAAACAGGAATCGAGATGAGTCACATTTGGGTTCCTACAATGCATACAATGTAAATTTAAAATCTATGGAGTAAAACCTCCCAATAAAAACAATGTTGATGATGGTTATATGCATGTTATAGATACTAAATGAAATTTATAGATACTAAATGAAATTTGAACTACAAGTTCTGTTGCTTATAATAATGTAGAAATTATTCTATATAACATTACATATACCATATAGTT